TTTATTTATTTATTTATTATTATTATTATTTTTGAGAAGCTCAACGTTCATAACTTGTAACACTTATCTATTTTGGAGTTTAGAAATGATCTCCGTGGCATAAAATAAAGACATTAGCCGCCAAGAGCTTTAAACCCCCCCTCCCCAACTCTCACCCTCTCTCAAAAGGACTTCCCGGTATATTTTGAATCCACATTGGTACAGCAACGTGAATACATCTGAATCTACACGTAGCCTATTTTGGTAGTTGGTCGTTTAAGAACTATTTTCACTTTTTTCACTTTTTTCAATCTTATCCTCTGTATTTGCCATTATCAGTTAGATCTAAGAACTTTGCTATATATACACTGCTGTAGCCGAATTTTACCGACAATCGACACTGGTCAAGATTACAAGTCATCTGCTGCTTATAGCAAGAAATCTTTGATCACGCCATTCTGCGTGTATGTCAAGCTTTGGAGTTTTAGTATGTGTCTGTAAACAGGAAACGTCGATGAAAATAATTATTTAAATCTACAAAAAAGTTTGACAGTAATAAAGACATATTATAAAGGCATATATGAACACATAGCAATGTTCATCTTTTATCATGCAAATGACTCCAGCCCTGCTGAGATGTTACAGCACACATCAGCCGTTGTCTGATATACGCTTCTTGTTTTGAATTGTGTTACATAATATAATTCTGCTGATGGGTATAGTAATAAAGTCGTTCTATAAATCAAACCAAATGTCTCTCCGATGTAAAACCCTTAAGCTTACATAACTTTGTGATAATGCTCGGCGCCAGCTTTTTTGGCACAAGGCACTTCACATCTATAAATATTGTGGGGACATGGCACAATTTCATTTGCATTCCTGTGTCGGTGCATTTGTGTTATTTAATCTTTTGTAAAGCAACCATTTTCTCGCGGAGAAAAGTAACAGCTACAGCATATCTAAGGGGTAAAACTCAAGTTGATTGTTCTCAAAAGCATCGTCCGCAGTGAGGTAAGTAGTGACAAAGTCCTTAAATTTGAACTTTGGGCATGCTTAAGGCGCCTCTGTAGAAACAGATTATATATTTTGAAGGGTACATGTATCAGGACAATTCGTCTCTCTCCCCCGAATATTTACCCCCGGACAATAAATCCCGTCCTAGACAATAACCCCACCCCGGACAATTCCCCCAAGACAGCCCCTCCCCTGTTGTTCAGAAAACCAATCATCATCAAACGAAAACGATATTAATCTGGACTTCTTAACTTCATGAGATTATTAAACCACTCGAAGAATGATATGTATAAATTATGTCCATTAAGTGAAATGAATTGTCGACAAACAAATATTTACCACCTGCATTTTTATGTAGTGGTTTACGATGGTCTTCTAGTTATTCGCCTAAAAACTAATTTATCGAGCCCTACCTAAAATACCTTTGTTAGTTTTACTTTTAGAAAAGAAATATATAAGATTTCAGCAAGGCATGACGGCAATATCTTTAAAATATAACTTCAGACATTTTTTTAGTACATGTACTATTAACCTGAATTATAAAAGTACACTTAAGAGTTTACAGGCCACGAAGTAATTAGGGTGGTAGAGCTCACAATAAAAAAAGCATAGATAAAGAACAAAAGCATTTTCCCGGTTGTAGCGCCTTTTCGCCGTGGGCGGTAACTACCTGTTATAGAATGTTTGGGAAATGTCTGCCATAAAACGGTTCCGTGAACAGTTTTGCTTGCATGTTATGGAAGATCTGAAAAGCATTTTACTATAGTCGTTAACGGTATTCCGAAGGGCAAATACCAAATTTTACAGCGATGATAGGGACTGAGAATGTTTTCTGTGAAAATCATTGAAGGATATCCAGCAAGCAGTAAACATATGAGAAAAACTGATATAAAGTGTGTTATTTAATACGGTCGTCAACGGCTGCTGTGATTATAAGACCAAATCATGACAGATTATTCAGTTCCTATATGTCGCTAACCATAATAATAACAACCCATATGAAAGTACGGTTTGTGAAAAGAAGTGGTAAAAGTTTTTAACAATGAATTTTGCAGAAAATTTAATTTGACCTTAAAATAATTTTTTCCCTTGAATTTTCATCAATTTACTCTTAATCACCAAATTCATGTCTTTTCGAAAACTGTTGAGAAAATGACAGACGCTTCTGACATCAAAATGTCTCTTATTATCTTTAGGAGTGAAATTCACGACCCCTTCCCCGCTCCATAACGTGACCCATATATTAACAACTATGGACTTAAAAGTGGATGTGCAGGACGTGATTTTGTCCCTATTGTGACCATGTCTGCAGCTTTGGGGACGAGAAGTTGGGGACGGGGATGAGAGGTTGTGCTTAACGCTGCTCATATTCAATATATCAAAATTTAACCTCAATTCACTTTTTATCCTTAAGCAATACCAATATCAGAAAGACTGAAGTCAACAAATTTTTTTATAAAATTGATTAACATATTTTTCCCACAGAACACGGCGTAGGTTCTTCAACCATCCTGCATTCTTCGAGAGCTGTATCAGGAAAACTGATTGTTCTGCTGTGCCTGCCCTTTGACCAACAATGGATGTTCAGTTTGTTGATATAAATAGATTCGTCATCGCACGTATGTGTCTTGTAGGGCTATGCGTAATCCTTCTATGCTACCAAAATTTTACACTACAAAGTATAGGCCAAGTTACGCTGATGCCCAAATACACAAGAGGAAATATGAAGGATCTCGGCTCATTCAAAGGAGTTGAATACCACCCAAAGGTAAGGTGTACTTACACACACATTCTACATGAATTTTTCCCTTTAACTTCTTCTTCTTTTAATACTATTCTAATACTGCTTCTTCGCCTGATAATTTGTAAATAAGCAATATCCGTCTCAGGTTCTAATTAGTCCGGACTTCACTGCACGGTTGCATGGCATTCTCTCTCTCTCTCTCTCTCTCTCATTCCAATTACCGACACTGAAGCATGCAGACTATCGCTGGTTCTTATTGTTCCCGATTTAACTGCACTGCCTCTCTCACTCTCTCTTTCTCACATTCCAATTGCCGGCATTGCAGCATGCAGTCTGGGCTAATGTCCCTGAAAGTTGGAAAGATGAAATGGCAACCAGACGAAATCAGCTAGAGAGAGCGTGCGCAGCTTCGAAAGATCCATTCATACATGTAAACCAAACTATTACTCGGAACATGACTCTTCGAAATATATTCGTTGATGACCGTCACCGGCTCCTCCTCTGTGCCATTCCAAAAGTTGGTTGCATCAACTTTTATCGACTATTGAGCGCTTTGACTGCAAATCTTGATGCTGACAAATATGCAACTATTGACGGTCAAATTGTATACTTGGGTTACAGACCAAGATTACGTAGTCTAGACACTTTCTCTGATTTCGGAATAAAGTTTCGACTCAAATATTATCTCAAGTTCGTACCAGTACGTCATCCATTAGAACGATTGGTTTCGGCATACCGAGATAAAATAGAAGGAGGTAATAAATATTACACAAAACTCCTCGCCAGAGAGATTTCCCGTTACGAAAAGAACGTCACGAACGAAGTGAGACGAACAGGTAACTGGTCCTTTGCTGCTTTTGTGAAATACTTGGCGAATTTCAGACACGAACCACATCACCAGATCGATATTCATTTTAAAGCCTTTCATGAGATTTGTTTCCCGTGTTCTGTTCGTTATGACGTCATCGCCCGTCACGAGACCGTGGGTCGTGACGTCAGCATGGTACTTAAGATGATTCGTGCCAAGTCTGGGCTTCAGTATCCAACCAACGATAGGAAACCAACACACTCCGAAAACGTTTGGCTGGATTATTTCAGACTGATTTCCAAGGCTGACGTGGCTAAACTATGGTACAACTACTATGGAGCCGATGGCCGACTGTTCAATTACAATCTTACAGATGATATTGGACATGACAATGAAGAATAATTATATCATTTGAAAATGCGGCGGGTCGGGCTTACGTAAAGCTGCATAGGTTATCAGGGGCTTGTAGCAGATATAAAGGAGTCAAAGCGCAGGGTCATTTTGGCGGTCCTACAGCAGACATTGAGAATTCATGAGGAGAATGCTTAGAGGCGCACATTGCAACCACGATGCATTTTTAAACCGTTTTTAAGTAGCTGAATCGGGTTTTGGTATGAAGAACTAAAGAGATACCACCTAACGTTGGGGAGTGCGTATCTAAAATGCCCAACGCATTGGGGCTGAGTTAGGATGGGGATGGGGCTGTTATCCCGACACGGGACGTCTAATCTGTTTCACTGAATGTTAAACTGAAATGATTAGCACTAGCGTAACTATTTTGGAGAGTCTGGAGAGGAAACGAATGTCCGGTTCATCTTTATTTATTTGAGTTTTCTTCCTTCTAATCTAATCTAGATCACACTATAATAATATGGGGTACTTAATTTTTTACAATAATGTATACGTTGCTACACGCATGTATTATATGGTTGAACACACCTCTTATAAAGTCTTTGCTGAGTTGTCAGGCGATTTGGGCTGCTTGGAAATAAAATGTAATTTGTAAAATTGGTCCGTTGTTATACGCTGTTCTATCTTTTTAGAATCACAAACTGTAATCCAGCGAATGTTTTAGCACTTACAGCTCATCAGTAATCTCTCTGTTGCCAAAAGATGAAGACAGCACTGTTATGTCATTACCACATGGTGTTCTTAAAATAACTATTATCAGTGTATTTTCTTTCTTAAAAAGAAAATGAAACCTAGAAATATTTTTTCTGAATACGCAAATAATAATAATAAATTACCTTTCCTTTTAACAAAAAGGTATGAGGTCGTTTGTACGTGAATGGGCTCTGAATAGCAGATTAAGAAAAATGTTAGGCTACACGTTTGATATAGGGCGCTATTTTGTAAACGAGAAAATGAGACATGATAATTACATCATCGAGATAAGATCTGCGTGATCTTAAAAGGATACAAAATTATGAAAAGTAATAAAACAAGTATAAGATATTGGCGAAACATATATCATTTTATGGAATTTAAAGACAACAGTGTGTGAACAGAGGGCACATCCCAGCCATCGAGTTTCTATTAATCATCAGATGCAATCAATTGATAATAAGAGCCTATTTTTCTTTTTTTTTCAAAAAGCGTAACGCAAAACCTTCTGCATAATGCCCCACCTCTGCCAGAAAAAATGTCCTTATTGTTGTCGTCTGTTGTTGTCTGTCTCTTACAACATTTCTCCCGTCATTGTCATTATACGGCAGATAACTCTACATGAAGATGTCAAATGTCTTACTTTATCGTCATTTTCTACTTATTCTCCGTTGATTATTGAAAAAAGATTTCAATAATTTTATCAGTATAGCTATACTTCTTATAAAAAGCAAATAGCAGAATCAAATATTGCCACAACTTTATGAAGCTTTGAGAAACTAGGGGCTTGTTTCTTTTCCATAAATACACCCTTCCAGACAACAATTAAAGTATCCTTATTGTATTCTAACAGCCTTTTACCATCTTCACTGGCCGTTGGCATAGTAAATAACACCTTAGAATTGGCCGGTATAGCAGTAGCAAAATAATTCAACAGAATCATACAAGCTGCTGTGGTATCTGCATAGAGAGGACCAATGACATGACCACTTGGAACAGGTTTTATTGTTCCGTAGCCAACAATTTTTCCATTCTGCTGAATTACCTTGGTCTTGGATTCTGGTATCTCAAACCAAACGTTGAGCACCCGCTCTCTGGGAATAATATGAAAAGAGGTGTCGTAGTCTAGTAAATCTTTCCAGTCCACTTCGATGTAATCCTTTAATTCGTAGTCGACTTTAGCTTCTTGCGGAATGGGCATATTTCTCAACTGGAGGCTGTAGAGATTCACACCTCCACGTGGAGATCTGGTGTTGCCAAGTTTTACATACATTGGTTCAACTTGCAAAATAGCAACAAAGCTGATTCTTCTATCGCCCATATAGCTTCCTACTTCATTCAAGAGTGCTTTTCCTGACAATTGCAAAATGAATTTTGAACTACATATTTTATAATGTTTACTGTAATTGTTGGAAAACAACGTTTTGCAACTGTTACCGTAAACTGTCAATGGTAAATGGTATTTTTGTTAATCTTAAAATTTAAATCGGCTAATTGTTCTATGAGCCATTAGCTCAAAAATAAAATAAAATAACAAAGTGCTCTCTAAATTGACCTGAATGACAAGACTTGTTTGGATTTTTTAAATTGCCAGTTAAAACTGGTACTGTGGTAACCTGTGTGCTTATGCGGCACATTTTGTTGGTGGAATGGCGTTAATTTACATTCATAAATTTAAAACCAACGTGCCTGCCATGAGTAATACTCACCAATATATTTCCCTCTGTGTTCTGGTTTAACTATCAGGAAGCCAGGGAAGCTAGTTGTTTCATTGATATTGTATCCCATAACGAACCCTGCAATATTTAGATGTATGTGCACACTATCTGATATCAACTCTCAAATACATATTTGACATTCAATTTTAAACATTCCCAATTCCTACCCCGGGAAATTTCCCCTTCCCGGACAATTCTTCTGTGAACTTTTGGTCATAGGTCATTTGTCGCACAACTTTGCAAACAAACCTTTGAGAACCTCTATAGAAAGATGGTCAAGTGTCACTACCGACAGGTGTGTAACTGACCTTCAGTCTGACAGAACTCTATGTAAGCAGAGTATATACATCTTCAACATGGGTCAACTTCTCATTAAAATTATTTATTCCCTAACTTTCGACTTCAAATTGGTCACATTTTAAAGGGAGAAATGAAAAGGCATGATGTACAAGAGTTCCATTTCTCTTAACGTTTCAGCAAAAGATAACTCGTACATGTACGTAACTTTTTCATGTTCTCACCCAGAATTTCGCCATCTTGTTCTGCCACAAACCAACCGTCCTCGGCTATTTCAATAACAGCGCGAGTAACTTGAAAACTGCAGCTTGCCCATCCTTCTTGTTTCACTATTTTCCAAATTTCCTCGACGTCGTCAGATGTTGCCTGACGAATCTTGAAACAGTTCTCGTTTTTAGGCACTGCCATGCTTGAGGCTGATAATTCGTCGGAACTGCAAATTGGGTCACAGTTTTTTGTTGTTGGGTCAACTGACGTCCGTGATGTTAAGTCGTGATATGTAAGTAAATGCAAATAGCTAAATACCGGCGCACTACATGTAATAGTATACGTGTGTTAAGCCTCTCTTCTGGTCCTCATATCAAATTCGGTCCCTTGGTTCTAAACTGTTTACAAGAAGCTCTGTTCTGGTCCTACACCTGTAAATGTCCATCATGACGTGTACAAACGTGTTCCCCAAATAATTACTTGCATTTTAGCAACCCAATTAACGCTCATTTGGTTGATTCGCGAGATCAACAGGCTAGTTGGGTGATATTTCACAGCATAAATTGAAAGAGATAAATTGCAGAGTAACCTTGTGTCCCAAGGATACTGCTTACAAGTATTTATTCCCTTCTGGCTCCCACCCCACCCAAGCACTTGTAATTGATACTCTGTTTCTTGAATAATGTGAGAGATCCGAAAGATGAAAAGAGCGCGCAGACTTGCTTTTGGCAGGTCAGGTCACAACGTAATGGATACGGCATCTCAGGCCACAAAAATATGGCTTCACAGGGCAGTGAGTTGAACTCGAGAAATATCCCTCTCCGACAAAACTCAGAGCATATATGCTCACCCTGCTTCTTTCATGTCTTTATAACAATTTTGTATTCAAACATCTAATAAAATGTGAAATTATTGTAGGATTTTACAAGTATCACTACTTTGCACCATTGCTATTATATGGCGCAGAGAACAGGTTCTAAACAAGTTTACGTGCAAACAGTAAAGATTGTTTGATATTAATAAAAATATAAATGTTAATTATAATAACTAAATCACTCTGCCAGCAAACTGGCTACAGGTTATTGCCAAGATTTGTTTAGTTAATAACACTCTCCTTTTTTTCGGGACATTTACAGAAATGTGTGAACATGATATTAATTCGAGAAAGGGTATTTTATAGTGTCTGTAAATTATGTAAAAAAGGAAATTACAAAAAATATGAAAAATTCCATATTGAGAAGACATGTTCCACTCTACTCCCCTCTCCTGATCCACTGGCCCGAGGAACTATAGGTTTGTCCTAAGCTCTTGAACGAGCTTGATACAAACCAGATGTGGAGATTTTATTGCCCGAGTCAGACTACCGACTTACCAGTCTTACCGGTTGAAATAAGTGTGGGCAGGGGGGGGGGATATATCTTCTTAACCGACAAAACTAGATATCACGAATTTGCACCCTCTGTTTATATTAAACGTACAGTGCCCTTGGCTGTCTCTCTTTTGGCCTCTAAGTTACTTTATTTGGTATATAGTTTTTATTCGGAAACATGTTAATATGACGTTCGTTGGGGTGGGTCTGGGTTATTAAAAGCCAATTTTTATTGGTTTAAACGGCCATGTGAAGTATCCGCGAGATCGACGGGTAAGGTGATATACTTCTCGGCATGAATTGAAAAAGATAAATTGATAAATTGCAGGGTATTCCCTAGTATATTGCTTATAATAAACTTATGCTCCCCCTGCCACCCTGACCTCTTGTAATAAATACTCATGCCAATGCGTTATTACGGTGCACATGCTGACTATCTACAACGCTTAAATTTGAACAATACATTGTTTGTGTGTAAATGTGTATACACCTGTAAATCCTCAACACAAGTTGTTTTTTTTTTAATTCTTAGAGTGATGCAACAGTGCATTAAAATAAATATTGAGTATTACTTTCACGTTTGTTTGAGTTATATTGAGCCACAAACTGAGTAATTTGCCTTTGCTTGGCATTTACCCCTCATACAATACCATCTTAACAAATGAATGTTGCACCCAGAGAACCTCTAACAAGGTCAAAGATTCCACTTTTCTCTCTCTCTCTCTCTATTTTTTATTGTCTGTAAATGATTTGCCCGCACAGAATGATACTTGACAACTCGGTATGATGGAGTGGCCCATTTACATACTGCCGTTGTGCAGAGCATTATGGGATTAATTTGAGTTTCGGCTCATATGGAAAGAGGAGAAATCCAGCAATTTTCAATCATTTATACACTGTTGCTCGAAATGCTTGTCACACCTAATAAAATGAATAGATTTTATAAGAATTGGCAATTTTTTTTCATAATTGCACTGAATTTCGATGAATTTCAATTTTCATCAACGAATTAATCGTGATATAATATTATAAGGACTCCGGCATGACTCCATGGCCCCGTAACTCGAAAGCATCGCGCACTGCAACCGAACGCAAGCGTTTCGATTCCATATCTCGCCCATATTCGTCCCATATAATACAGTTTAGCCTCTAAGTGATATCCTATTCGCAATACGCGATGCATTCGAGTTACGGAGCCCAGATTGGACTCGTGCTGTCTTCCACTTCACGTGCACAGAGAAGCATAACAAACAACATCTCACCTTCAGCGCCGAATCAAATGTCACTTTATTCTGTACATAATGCACATTTTATACATTTTTTTTTATCTAAATGGAACGAATATACGCGCCACAGTGACTTCAACTGATTTAATAATTGTTTTGCAATGTTAACAGGTGAGAGATTTAACGCATGCATCTGTATCTGGCAAACATAACTTCACGGAGAATGTTAAATGCCACATTGAATGATAACATGCTGACTAAATATGATAACAAAATTATGGGATTAGAGGAGGTTCCCCAATTTTGCATTGCTGTAAGGATAGATCTTTTCACGGTTTTCGCAGCACTAAACTTATTAAAATTATGTACGTACACATAATCTCAAATGAAAAAAAAAACACTCAGCAGTTTGAAAAGATATTTTATATCAATTTACGCCTTTTTCTTAAAACCAATATTCAACATTTCAGACAAAAGATCTGACTAGGATTACATATTAAGATTGCCGGCATTTATAAAATGGCGTCCTATCCAAAGTTAATCTGCTAATCATAGCCCCTAGATTTCATATGTTTAATTTATAGAATTTGTAACTAAGAGATGATGCCAAAAACATTGATAAATGTCGTAAAATTATGCACGACTAATAAAAATAGGCATCAGTGCCAGAACTTTGCTATAGTTTTGTATGGAAGAAGTAGCTGTTTTTTCCATTTCTACTCCTTTCCATTCATATATGGTCTTGTCACAATCTATTATTTGCTTACCGAATTCACTGTCATCGCGAATAAGAAGGAACACGGATGCGTTTTGAGGTAGGATAGAAACGAGATGTTTCAGAAGAAAGAAACAAGCGTTTTTGTCATCGGCATACAGAGGGCCTAGCACGAACCCGTGCGGAACAGCTTGAATACAGCCAAAACCAACAACCTCGCCGCTTTGAAGTACTAATCTGGTCACAGATCCTTCTATTTTAAACCAAGCTTTGAGGACTCTTTCCCTTGGAGTAACATGAACGGAAGAATCGTATTCCAGCAACTTTTCCCAATCGACATCCACGTAATCTTTTATGTCGTACAGAGTTTCGACACCAGTTGGGACTGGAATATCACGCTTGGAAATGCGACATAAACTCATTGGCCCATGCCGTGATCTGAGGTACCCCCATTTGGTATACATTGGCGCAATTTCAAGAAGGGAAATAAGCCTTAGATTTTTATTCCCGTACGTCTCTTCAATCGCATCTAATAAAGCTCGCCCTGGGAAACAAAAAAAAAAAAAAAAAAAAAAAAGAAACGTTAGCAGTGTATACATTTTATTTGAATCAGCATTATGAGGCCATGATACACAATTCTCTCCTATTATAATATTATATTTTCCGAGTGAAACAGTTACAGTGACAACAGGCAACTAACGCAATGTAACGTTACGGCAACCTGGCATCCATGTTAGTGAAACCTGCCATTGTTTTCGATTCATTGTTGACACAGACTTGTTAAGCATTTCAATCCAGTTCTTGATACCTTCATAATTACCCCAAGAATCACTTACCAATGCCTTTTCCTCGGTGCTCCGGTCTAACGATGAAGCATTCGATTAGTTTACTTTCATTTAGAACTGTCACAAGCACAATACCTATAGAAAGGGGGGGGAGTATTTTAATGAAATTATTAAAATAAGTCGTTTATATAGAGATGTAAAATTGACGATTAAAGCTTTGAGTTGCCTATGCTTATACATTGCATCAAGAAATATAAACACCGATGTTTCATATTTTCGAGTTTTATTTTCATTGTTTTAAATTAGCACAAAGACAGATGTATTATTGAATTATTAGATGCAGGAAAAACCTCATTTTCGGTAGCTGGATAATAAGAAAGGGTTACAATAACCTTGAGCGAGGTTTAAACTACGGCAGATAATTAATAAATTATACTTAAAAACGTAAAAGATTTACATCTTTTTTAAATTAGAACACCTTATGGCTAAAATGACTAGGGTAGAAATTTATTACTAGTAGTAGTACATTAAGACTGGTTCTTCGGTATTTCAACTTAAACAAACCATACTACCATTAGTCGCCAAGGAAAACAGTTTGAAAGGATTGTAGTGTAGATGCACTCTTAATATAGATTTAGGTGACCTGACACTGGTGTTTCGGGGTGATGCTTCGTGCATGTAGAAGAAACAGAACTAACTTTGTCCCTTTTCTGATAAAAAGCGGTCATGGCCTAGATACTGTCCTCAAGCAGCCCCGGTAAGTACACCACGCTTGTGTTACCATTAGTCGCCCAAGAAAACCGGGTACAAGGTCAGCCCTATAGATGGTCATTAAACCAGAAAGCACTTACGGGGTCGTTATAAACAATATATGAAAAAAGAGGGGTAGGCACTTTGTGTTACGAACATAAAGGGGTGATATGTCTAAATCTAGATCACCTGACACTCGTGTATCGAGTTACTGTTTCGTACATGTAGAAGAAACACCACTAACTTTGTACCTAATAACAGGGGCGGATCCAGGATTATTTGAAAGGGGGGAGGGGGGGGGGGGGTCAGCCGATGCGAAGCAGACACCCGTTTGACACCCGACTTTGGCGTCGGTTTCGGGACCCTATGAAGGAAAAATTTTGGTATTTGAGAGGGCGAAAGGTGCAATTTGTTACGGTTTAGAACTATGATTAGTTAAAATTTAAATTTCAAGAGGGGTCCATTGGATTGTCCGAAATTGAAGGGGGTGGGGGTCAGGCCCCCCCTGACCCCCCTCCTCTAAATCCGCCACTGTAATAATTATCAGGCGTTGAACACAGCTTACAATAATAATAATAATAATAATAATTATAATAATAATAATATTAATAATAAACTTTTTCGAAGTTCTTATGTTAGGTATTACGATTTCTATAACTTTTTTACCGACGATTTTCCCGTCTATTTCAGCTATAAGCCAGCCATCCTTGGATATTTTCAACGTCGCCTGTATCATACGCAGACTGAACTCTTTCCAACCTTCGTTGAATATTATGTTACAAATAATACGATCATCACTCGCGATCGCCTTGCGAATCCTATACGATTGAACTCCACACTGTCCTGCCATTCTTTTCTTTTGGCCATTACATTCTATGACGTAGGTGTGGCTAATGCGATAGTAAACATTTAACAAAGCTGGCAGATAACTCCGCTATCGCAATAATGTCCATAGACAGCTTGTGGTAGGTGGGGACTTGCACATTAATTTAAAAAAAAAAACAGGATATATCACAACAAAGTTTACTTTTTCACCATACATGAAATGTCTAGTCCTTGATAAAGAAACAACTGGTGATGCAGACTATATTTGGAACATATCTGGAAAAAAGGGTTGGAAAGACCAAAGTGGGGATATAACCCATGTACAAGAAAACCGTTTCAACCGGCTTTAATGTATTTTATGTGCCTTATGTTTTAGAACCTAAAAGCTCACCAACCAAAGCCCTATTTTAACTCGAACAGATATAACTTAAACAGGATTTTATGTCACCATTGTCATTTTTTAATATATATATATATATACTGGTATTGCATTACGCAACATAACCTAACATGTGGGACTTGATCTGTCACATCTGTGTCGTGAAGCGGGTTGGTCTCATTTACATCAATAGAATTCAAATCTTTACTGTATAGTCAAATGTTCACAATATAATATGACGTGTTCATCTAGTCACGTTATCTCGTTATCCAGACGCGTTATCTAGTTTTTTCCTCATACTGTTCAGTTGCCATGGACATTTATTTATTTCCCCATTTTGATAACTTTGTATCATATCTTTTTGCCCCATTGTGAGGGGGGGATGTATGGGTCCTAGTTAAATTTGATATTGTTTTGATCACCCCCCCCATTTTTGTAGCTTTGTAACATATTATTTTTTCGTCATTTTAATAAATGATAATTTTCAGCTATATGGACCTGACCTATTTAACTTTTGAGCGAGAACAGAGCTTCGTTGAGCTTGTGAACATTTGACTATACAGTAAAAATAAAAGTTCTATTGATGTAAATGAGACCAACCCGCTTTACGAAATCCTATGCGTGGGAAATACAGATGTCACAGGTCAAGTCCCACACGTTATGTGTAGAAATTGCTTGCGTCAAAACACGGAAAACCCGAAAAGTTTGGTGTAGTCTATATAAGGGCCAATTGAACCAAAATTCACATTAAGTAAGGCAGCATGATGTGCAGCACATCGAAAACCCCGTTAGTCCTTGATAAAAGAACATTTGGTGAGGCAGACGACATGATGAAAATGTTTGTAAAGGAAGGCTGGAAGGACCAAAGTCGAGATATATTACAGGCAACGTTTCGTCTGGCTGGAAAAGGGCAGTTGGTGGCGAAATACGATGGTGTCGTCGTAGGTAAAATGAGTCGCAATAAGGTTTAAAACTAATTTTAAAACATTGAAACACAAAATCGCAGGTCACAATATATTTAACTCTTTTTCATTTCATTTGTTCTTTCTTTAATTCACTGAAATGCATCGGATTTGTAGCAATGTTAAAAAGCCCCAACAATGTCTAAATTCCTTGTGTATGAATCTTGGCTAAGCAAAATCCCAGTTTGATTCTCCCTAAAATTGAAACTGTTAAAGCATATTTAACACACACACACACACACACACACACACACACGGTATAGTAGAAGGGATCTGTATATCTTCTAACTAAATTTTAATTTTGTTTTCACATTCCAGGCTTCGTTACGCTTTACGATTTTAGCGAAACAAATAGCTTTCTAAACTACCTCATCGTTAAACCGGAGCATAGACATAAAGGCTTTGGTGAGTAGATACAGACTAAGAGATACAGTCTCCAAATACTGTTCCGTGACTTTATTGGCATAACTTTTAGTGGCGGTGTGTAATTATAATGATGAGAAATCTTTCTTCGTAGCTGAGATTTAAGTTTAATAAAAATGAGCAGTGTGTTTTGAAATGATTTACCCTTCGTGATTTGTTTGTTTGTTTGTTTTCCTCAGGGAGCGCAATGTTAAGGAAGGCACACCAATTAGCAGAGGCCAGAACAATAAGTTTCATTGCCACTCTTCCAGCAGTGCCACTGTACGAAAGACACGGGTACGTAAAAGGGAAGTTCTGTTTTGCATCTTACAGTATGATTATGAAACATATCCCAGTCTCTCCAGGCGCTGGGTCAAAGTACGAAATAAAAGCTAGCCGTGATGTTGACTGGAATCAGCTGGTGAACTACGATACTTCTTACCATGTTTTGTCAAGGGAACATGTATTAAAGACTTTCTGCAGTATAAAGGGTTCAACCACAAAGGTCATACTAGAGAGGGGCAAAATTGTAGGCTATGGGACAATCCGACCAGTTCTAGCAGGATATCTTATAGCTCCCCTCTATGCAGATAATACAGAAGCCTGTATGGTGCTCCTAAGAAGCCTTGTTGGTGTCGCCCCATCTAATTCACCCGTTGTTCTGGTGATCCCGAATGTCAGTCAGGCCGGTAAGATTCTTTTGGACGCTAACAAAAATGACGTTAGGGTTTTATGGGAGGGAGTCAATATGAGCAGCAAAGACACTCCCGATATACCAAAAATGAACAATGTCTTGGCAATACTGAGCCCTGCCATTTGTTTTCTGTAAACTAAGCACCTGGGCCATTGTGTTTTGATTATGATCATGCAAGTGGCACCTTTCAAGCACGCTCGTATTCAGGGTTTCTGGACAATTTGCTTTAATTTTCCGGTCCCAATACCATACTTTGACCCTGTTATCTGTTGCTTCACCAATTTGCAGTTATATAATAATTCAGAATCAAATGTGGTTTAACAATGAGCATGATAATGTCAATAAAGCATAGCCATATAGTAATGAGAACACTTATACACGTGACTTTTAAAGAACATATCCTGGTGCTAATCGTTTGAACATTGTTCAGCTATTAACGGTATCTCCCCTGGGACATATCAAAAGAACACAGTGCAATTTGATAACCAGTTTGGTTTTTTTTAAATCTAAAGGCTATGGGGAAGTGGGGAGGGCCGTATTCCCAAACAATAATCGTCGTTGAAAAACTGGTCATGTCCCATGGTCATTGGTGCATATATATATATCGGAGAATAAAGTCAATACACCATGAAAAAGTGCTCCACCCATGGTGGCGGACCGTGGGGAGCTGGTATAGAAAATCAAGGATACGAATAAATTAGACTTTTCTCTCCATTTTATTAAAAAATGCCCTACGGCCGTTTCGGCCCAGAGGCCTCGTCAGGGGCGAAAACAAAACAAAACCAGGTCTCAGGGCCGAAACGGCCGTAGGGCATTTTTTAATTAAATGGAGAGAAAAGTCTAATTTATTCGTATCCTTGATTTTATATATATATATATATATATATATATATATAATCATCTGTATGCCACTTCATAACGGATTACAGCCATTTTACAGATAAACAGCTGAAAGCCAGTGTCGTTAAACATGTGGTTGATAGCTACATGCGGGTTGCTGTATTTTGTTTTTTGTTGCTAAGTAAATGAAATTGATGATATAATTAACACGCGCTGTCTCTCGGCTGGTGCCATGTACTGATGACGTTGGGGATTAAATTTGCGAATATCCATGAAGATCGCAATTTTATTTTGATATTATTTCGTGCATGATGACAAATTGGCAAACTCCTTCCATTGCAATTTTCAAATGGATAACATAATTGTACTCAGAATGCTAGTAAAGTCCATGTTTTCGCTATTATTATTATTATTATTATTATTATTATTATTATTATTATTTATTGTTAATCATTAAGTATGTGGTTGTGTCCCAGATATGAAGGAGGTCAATTGTTCCCAGTAGTTAGACTTTACGTTCAGTGTTCAACTTATTTAGAAAGATGTAATGTAAAAATGCAGGTTGCGTTTTTGTACGCAAAAATGCAGGTTGCGCTGAAATTCTTTTCCATAGTACGTGAGCAAAAGGTAGGCTTGCGTACAGAAAACAACGTGCGTATCCATTACTGATCTTGGTAGACAATACTGCTAACCACAATTTAGTCGGTAGAAATAGTACTCTTATCGAATGCGTTTTGCCTTTGGCAAAGGTCATTAATGCAGTTGATTTTTTCCGAATTTAAACATTAATAATAGAAATAATAATAATAATAATATTATTATTTTATAAATTCCAATTATATCATTAACATGGCCTGAATATCATTGATTTTATGTTGTCGGTTACTTTTCACATTATGTAGTAATCTTTCTTCTACGTGAACATGTATACCAAGCCATATCCAGGCTTAAACAGACACAACAACAAACACTGATCAAACTGCCATAATTTACACAAGAAGTGCAAAAGTATTTCAAGCATCGATTTTTCATATGACATAGCTGCGAGGTAGATACCCGAATTGCGACGACCACTTCATACGTCTACATGTACGACATTGGATATAAAAGAAAGCCAATAGAGTAGAGATAGGAGTTATATTGAAATTTGTACAATCTCTAAATTAACATGGCTCTGGTTCAGTTTACTCAATTTTCTTTATCTTCATGACAGCCCAGTTAAGAAGATGGGTCTTGACACCTCTCTCTCCTTTAGGTACGCCAAAATGCTTGAAGTGCGCAAAACAAAACTGCGTGCAGTTGCCCGTGGTCGCCATTCTTGCTGTGAGTGCGATAAGTGTACATTCTCTGTACCACCATCCTCCCTGGAACAGTTCAGCACAATCTCTGTCGTTTTCGTCATCATTGTCATTGTCAAAGGTGGTAAATGGCATGCCAAAATGTGAAGGCCAATATTCCGGATCCTGAATCAGAGTTCCGTCCCCTTGCGAAAATTCGCTGAAAACGTATTTTTCTGATTCCGGGCCTATGCGAAAACCGTGGTGGATTTCCCAGTAGTAATTGTCAGTTGGCAAACTCCTTACTTCGACCATTAAGGAGTAGTTTCCCTGGTAGGTGAGATGATGAAACGCTTCCAGTCCCAGCCAGTAGTCACCAGTGACGTCACCGAATCCGATACGGTAATCCGTCCAGGACCTTCGCGAATAAAGTAAAAATTAAAATAATTTCACAGTGATTATATATCCTACCTTCCATTCCTACCAGTGCAGGATACCTCTATTTTTCAGATTAAATTACTATATTCTATCAGTTATATTCTTCTTCATCGTCGGAGTCGAAGAAACGACATGGGCGAACAGCCTGGTCAAGATTGATTTTAGAAATCAAAGTTCAAAATGATGAAAAATGCCGCACTTACATGTAACAACAATAATATCACACATTAAATAATAATAAAAAAACATAAATTTGTAATTTAATGACAACACGCACACAGAGAAAGGGGCGGTGAAGATCAAAGCATACCTGTTGAAATTGAGATCTGGCCCTGTTCTACGCATCAGTACCGTCCACCCGGCCTCACAGGACACGCGGAGCTGTTTTCCCATGGACTTGACGTAAATATTATGGACGCCATTCACGCCATCTCAAAAAAAAAAAAAAAAAAAAATGATCGAATAAATTTTAAGAAATAAAAGAAGAAATTAAAGAAACTAATTTATACAGGGAGACTAAATTTCAAACAATAAAAGACGAAGGAAATATGCAGAGAGACTAGCACATGAACGGAAACAGATTAACGGGATAAAAAAAAACAACGCCCTGAATGGGAAAACATACAAGAGACCGGCACTACAATATGCAATGCTTTCATCGACGCTCTTTGGTCAGACATACCCTAATATGTCATATTTTCAACCGGACAAATTTATAATGGCTACGTTTTAATTGTAATTCATCAGACTGTTCACACAGAAATCGACATGTAGGGCATGGGCTAAAATGCAGAAAAAACATTTTTTAATGTTTACTTATACTGTTGGCGGTTTTCTGAAAGGTCTTAGTATTAAACGAATTCTTGACAAAAATATGTATTAATATTAAAGACTCACTATAATCAGCGCAGTCGCGTGGCACCTAAAATGGAAAATGGAACTGAGTATCGCCTTTGATAACGTATCTGATGCATTATGAGTTATGTAATATGAAAATGAAAAAAAAAAATGTATTGAAGTAACACCATTCTGCACCTAGATGAAGACCAAATGAAACAAGCATCGAATCAATATTTTTCTTATCAGAAAAATTGAGATGATTTATTAGGGATAACTGAACTGAAAAATATTCAACTATTTTGTGGACTGTGTGTTTGACTTTTAAAAACCTAACCTCCTTCAATTCTACATAAATTCCCCGTCCTCTACATGATCCAAATGCTATAAAACGTGTCTTTCAAAGAAAATGTTTACCCAACATGTTTTTTTCTAATTAGATTTCATTCCAGAATATCATATCAGACCACCATACAAACCTTGGTATAGTGTTGACTGGCAGCATCGTCTATGAGGGACGACTTGTTGGGGGAGAAATCAACGGTGGAAGTCAGCTCACACACCGAGCTGCGTGCTCTCAAGTTAAAAGACATACATTGAAGGTTGCTCTGGCATTTTGCTCCACATTCAATTGCAGTTATCCCATTTTGCCGCTCTTCTGTTTCCAAAACAGAGTCAGGCAAGTATTTCCCTGGTTCAATAAGGAAAAGAGCGCCTTTTGCTACACTAGATTGGTTTTTCCCTTCTGTGTAAGACCGACGAAGTAACGTTGTACAAATGACGAAGCAAAGCACCCATTTTGTTCGCCTGCCCGACATGCTTACACCCAAACGGCTTAACTGGAAAACACTGAAATACGCTCACAAGTCTACTATAGTCTCAGTATATTAGTAAATTGAAGTTTCTTGTCAACAATGATCGATTGTGACGTGTGAATACAATTGTTGTTTTTTTTTTGTTGTTACCTATCTTTAATGATACATGTGTGACAAAATACCCGTCTTGTAGGCGACATAGAGAGAAGCGAGCATTGGTCTGCGGGATGTTGGCGTGGAAAAAAATATGTTGTATATTCATAAAGTTTGTCATTTTTTTTTTTTTTTTTTGTGGTACTTGAGTTAATAATCAAAAATACGCATACATATCAAGTTATCGGGGATTGCATGGAAAGAGGTATTTATTCCAGAATTTTAGGCCACAAATGTACAATATATATATATATATACACACACAATAGCACATGATGTCTTACACAAAAATTATGTAATATACATATCCTTATTTTACGAATAAGTTCATATTTCTATCCTTATTTCAAAACGGCCAAAGTAGGATGAAATACAGAAATAAAACTTCAGTTTCAGCGATGCAAGTTTATACTGACATTAATTGACACATATACAGGTATAGCTTACTGCTGCTAGAGCATTCCGTTGTTACATTATGACAATAGGTTAATCATCTCCACAACCACATTTAGAACTCCAGCAACAGCATTCCCTTTACATGTCAATTTAGTACGTTAATACAGCAGTCATATTATAATTGCTGCTGTCTTTGCAATTATTTAATTGCTAATGGAAAAAATCAAACATTCTGTGCTCGTTTTGGACATGACCACACGAATGACAAACAGGTTGGATTGGAAAATGTGACGTGCAACCAAACAACATGAACATTTCTACTGGTCTGCTTTGAATATTTTATTGTTTAGATGACAGAGAGTAGAATGAACAATGACAAATTGTAATGTGAGAAAAACACTGTTGATTTTGGTCTGTCTGCCTTTTTAATTAATTCAATCTCTTATCTCGTAAAGGGGAACTTCTCTCTCCCGGATCCAGTTCAAAACAAGCGAGATGATTTATTGTCATGTATTGAAGGCATGTATATATATATAATTGTTGATCTGGTCACTTGAGTTCTTCAATTCTTGTATTTAGTCAATTTTCTTTATCTTCATAACGGCCCAACAGAGCCAATGCTCTTTGTTAACAAAATTGCTGTTAGGTATGCCCATATGCTTAAAGCTCACATGGCATTTCGAAGTACAGTCCAGCGTCGCCCATTTCCCAGTAAGGGAGATATGAGTACAATTTCTGTACCACCAACCGCCTTCGAATGCCTCGGCGCAATTTCTGTTGTCGTCGTTATCATTTTCAGCATCAAAGGTGGAAAACGGCATGTCAAACAGAAAAGACCAATAAACGGCATTTTGACTCAGGTTTCCAACACCTTGCGGAAACTCGTTGAAAACGTATTTTTCTGATTCCGGGCCTATGCGAAAACCGTGGTGGCTTTCCCAGTAGTAACGGCCGGTGATCAGGCTCTTCACTTCGACCATAAAGGAGTAGTTTCCCTGGTTAGTGAGATGATGAAACGCTTCCAGTCCCAGCCAGTGGTCACCAGTGACGTCACCGAATCCGTCACGATATTCAAGCCAGGGCCTAAAAATGTAAAGAAAAAGTCAAATGAAACCTACATGTACTTGTATTAAACTGCAATCAAGCATTGTATATATCATAATTACTCTGTTCTGCCCGCAACCCTGCTTTATTGTCGACATTTAAGAAAATGAATTGGAGAGCTTGAGGAGCAAGATCGTTTAGACTTGCCATAATGTTTCATCTGAACTGTTCCTGGTGAGCCATTAATGAACTACATAAATGATCCCCCCCTCCCTCCTCAAATCACCTAATGAGAAAATTTAAGATTTTCAACAAGACCAAACCCTTCTGGAATCCGCTGCATACCTGTCAAAGCTTAAGTCGGGTCCTGTTCTACGCATCAGAACCGTCCATCCTTCCTCACATGATACACGAAGTTGTCTGTTCATGGAGTTGACGTTAATGCAGTGAACGCCATCTACCCCATCTGAAACGGTCAGTTTTCATTTACTTATATTGTATACTCAAAGACATACATAGGCACATAGCCACATACAGGCAGAGATTCGTGCAGATAAAAAGAATTCACACGTAACTTTTATAGAAGTATCAATGAAAAGAATGTGCCATCGATACCATGCAGGCGCATTTATTTGGGATATAATCCCAGAAAAAAAAATATACATTAAATGTGAACACTTACAATAATCAGCGCAGTCGTGAGGGACCTAAAACAAAATAATAAAACAAGGTATCAGCTTATCAGCTGTCTGAATGTTTATATTTTTGGGTTTATGACATGATGCCTGATTGGCAGCCAAAACCTGTATACAAGTAACGCCTTTGCCATAATGTAGTCCTCCAGCTTCAAGCCACATGTGCATCAGCTATTTAGCACCGCAACAAATAAATTAACCACAGTAACTTAAGTAACGAAATAATAGCAGTCAAGATTCAGTCAGTGGTTTGCTTTGTTTTTTTTCTTTTTGCCTTTCAAAATTAAAATGAAATTAATATTGCAGAGGTTCAATAATAATAATAATAATAATAAAGATAATAATTATATTTTTATTTATAGTCTAAAATCCATCTAAAATGTTCAGTAGACTTTATAGGGAGTTTTTGCAGAAGAAAACATTTCACGGTGGAGGGTGAATTTCCAGGAAGCTTTTATTGAATTACTGTAAATTGGATTTTCTCTACGTCTTTTTTTTTTTTCTTTTTGGGGGGGGGGGGGGGTCCTTTCCCCTATTTTAAGTGAAAAATCTTTGCGCAAATGTCTTAAAATTTTGGCGCTTTTGGGTTATTTCATGCTAACTAGCTTACTACTTAAATTGCAGTCATATATTCGTCTCTATATCTACACAGTATGATACTAAATAGAACATACATGAACACTGAGAGTGGGTACAATAATAGAAGACTACGTTACCCACCTTTGTATAATGTCGACTGGCAGCGTCGTCAACGAGGGCCACCTTGGTGGGTGTAAAATCCACGGCGGAATTCAATTCACACACAGTGTTGGCAGATCTTATGTTAAACGACTTGCACTTTGGGTTTGACTGGCATTCCGCTGCGCATTCTATCCTGCTTATTCCACCTGGTTGTTCTTTGGTTTCCAACACAGCATTTGGTAGATATTTCCCTGGGATCATATGGAACATGTCGGTTTTTGTTGCACCATATTTCGCCCCTGTGTGAGACCTACAGACAGCCGTAAGGCAAATGGCGAAGCAAATAAAAACTCTTCTTCGCGTACTTCTCGACATTGCTGCGTCAAAACACTTATAAGTTACTCCGAATAAGAATGCACAGAAACACTTTCAAGGGTCTTACCGTAATGGTAAAATTTTCACGGTCAGAGGGATAGTTTTGTTGCTTGGTAACTCAAATAATATTATTATATTTTGAAAAGAATCTCCTGAGTGTGATTCGACAATTGGAACAGACAGAAACCCTCGGAAAATATAGTTATGGCTTTGGGCAATAGATCCGTTACCATACATTCCCAGGGGACAAATTTGTTTGATATGTGACATGTTAAACCGGCCAACATTTGTAAACCATCAATAAACCTGTCCTACGATCATTAACTTGGATAGTGGTCATCATTGCTGTGCGGAATGGTGATACATGTACCCTATATGAACAAATGATATCGGGATTACAATATATCGATCTTCATTAGTTTGTCACTATCCATTTTCTATTTTTCGTCAGCTTACAAGGTGTGCAGTAAAAAAAAATAACAAGCATTTATTAAAAACATTGGTTTAGCTTTCATTTGTCTTACATAATTCACAGGTGTGATCAGTTGTGAAATGTCCATTGTTAAAGAATATATTTCGATCCTGGGTGTGTGTTGTAATTGACCCCTGATTGCCATTCGCAGGAATACCATTCCTGTCACACCGGCACAGAATGTATCGGTTGAATACAGTATATATCCCGGTGTTAAAAGGGCCAGAGAGAGAGAGAGAGAGAGAGAGAGAGAGAGGAGGGCGAGAGGGTATTATAAGTTGTTGACCCTATCATCCTGACTCTTACTGAGACAATTGTTTCATTATATTCTCATAGTACATCAATAGATATACTTTGCACATCGATAAACTTAAATTTCAATTTTTGTCACAAAATTGTCCACAGCAAAATCTGCATACACAAAAAGCTTAAACCTTAACTACACTGTAGGACCCCGGCTTGGTGGGTTTTAGATTTAACCGATCGTATTAAAGGCCTTTATGGAAAAAATACACATTAAAAACAATAGTAGCAATAACAATATCATATTTTTCTAGGACTGCTCAGGAAGGTGTTTTGGTGACATGTGCGTCAAACTGTCAACAGGTCGATTGCCGCCAATCCAAAGACATACGCTGTAGTAATGATTTGATTCAGTAATAGCTGATCATTGGTGCTCACTGTCTAGTTTCTGTTCTATTTATTTAACTCATTGATCAGTTTAAGTCGACCGAAGTGCCAATACCATTGCATAGCTGATCATAATTTCAAGGCCATGAGAGAAAGGCGGCGCACTCCATAGCCTAACAACCAAGTTGATTCTTGCCTTTTTTTTCTCTCTCTCGGTCTCACGGAGTGATATTGTTGACATGATATCATAATATTGATTATCTGAGCGAGTGGATCCAGATATCGATATCCAGTGTGTTTCAATTTGATTGCTTTCCTGTCGTTTCGAAGCAGCATTTTGACACATGCAGCATGAGCATGCACCACGCGCCGTCAGCTGTGCATTTATCTCACTGACTAGGCAGCTACCCTCATCAAAACTGTGATCCAGATTATAAATTGGGAGAGGGGAAATGAGCAGGCGACGGCACTCAGAAAACACGACGATCAAAGAGCGAAAGCTTCTTTGGGATCGAGACAACAACAGATATTTCTTCGACACACGGGAGGGAACCCTAAACGCCTCAACCGCACGAAAAATCCAAAGAGCAACCACCTCGAATAGACACGAAAATAAGCTGTTAGAGACTCGCATCAAGCATATAGAGAACAAACGTCACGACTACGTAGTTAAAATAAGTAAACAAAGAGACGATCTACATGCAGCGTTTAAGGGGTACGCAGCCAATAAAATAGTGCTTCAAAAAGTGTCTTCCAAACTCTTGCAAAGGCGGGGTAGTAGCGCACAGGAAGAGTTTGAAAAGTACAACTTCCGGGGAACTGAGAAAGATCTACAAGAGGAAATCAATGCTGAAAAAGAGCTACTGACCGGGGAAAGTAAAAGAAAAAGTCAGGCGTATGCTATACTAGCTAAGCAGCTCCCAATCCAAGTTTTTAATCGGAAGCTTACGTGGTCCAACATTGTCGAGGCGCAAAGGAAGGCAAGTGTTGCAAAACCTACTAAGTACTCGACGCCAGCAAAAGAGCACGGGAAACTTGTGTTGCCGCCTGTAGTCGTGGATGTTAAGTCATTTAAAAGGAGATTCAGCGTCCCAGAAGAAAGTCGACATTTACCTCCCGCGCCCAGTTCCTAGTCATAATATTTCACTAACTCTGATTATTTGATTGAAATTAGACTGACTTCTTGGGCAAACATTTATTTAAGAAACTCATCAGCAGTTTCTTAACTTCCTCATAAAGCTCTGGATGACAAAAGGACTAATCACAGATGGTCGAAGGATTCAGATCTTTTACAGTATTGAAAAGAATGATGTGCTAAAGGTTTATTCAGACCATACTTTTTAGCAGAAAATATTTTAACCGAAATAATCCAAATGGCCATGCTTCCTATGTATTCTAACAAACACGAGGGCATAAAGTGCTTGATAAGGACATAAAGGTCTTGACAAGGGCATTATTGAAGTGCTTGCAGTTTTGACAAGGGCATAAAAATTACCCACAAGAAAACTTTAAAATATAACGACAAACGCATACGTGAATGCAGTGAACTAATTAATTTCAAACAAACGCCATATATTTTACTGTTCAGTTTTAAGACCGTATTAGACACTGTAATTCAGTTTTGCTTTTTAGAGATATTCTCCATTTAACGAATATCTATATGTCTGTAACAAGGTCTTTTTCGGACCACTGATGGTAAGATCGAAAATACTTTAATTTTCTTTTCCTTTAAGGTCAAGTTGGTTGAAGTAATTTACACTTGTAACAAGGTCTATAAAGGGTTTAAGTATCTGGACAGTTTAACCAGTTAGGTCAATGGCTAAGTATCATACTTTTAGCCTCTTTTTGATGAGACGAAACAAGAGCAGGGTTTTATGGATAATATTTTAGAATACATGAAGGAATAAGATTTTTTTATGTTTTTAGCAACATCTGAAGTTTAACGATTGCAGTAACGAATGTGCCATGTCGTCTTTAGTTCGGTTATTTCATTACTAAAAAGAATATGCATTATGTGACGGCATTTTGTCTGTTGCTTTATTTATTACTCAATTTTAAAAAATTGTCCATGATCAAGGTATTGAAATAAAGCCAATCCTACAATCTCTCTCTATTTATGTATTTGTTGTTAAATGAGAAATTCACATGCTTTTTAAGGTAGTAACAAATGACATTTAAAAACTGGCAAGTACACTAAATAATGTAAATCGTAGTACAAATTTTCTCCGCCAGCGGACCGAGATACAAAAACACCGGTGTTATTGGAATAAACACCCAAAGAGTTCAACCAACAGCGGCTTGCGATGAAAGCAGAAACAAACGGTGACTGTCCAATACAATCAATTGCCCATAAAGTCGATATAAAACAATGCGCCCAAATTTAAAAAAAACTGATAACATAAACATTTGTACACGGGCTTTGTTTATGAAGGTGAGCGTTGTTTTGCTTTGGGTGAGCGTTAGAATAATATGAACAATAACGCGATGTCAATATTGGTCCTTGGGCTTAATTTCATCACCTGGGATACAGATCGATTTCTTATTTTAAAATAATAAAATATGACTGCTGTTTATTTTTAAATTCTTCGTCTGGTAAGAATCCTGGTAAGAATAAAATATACTTTGTCTCAAACTTCGATATTCTATAAACAGTAATATAAACCAACAGGCATTTTTTTTATCTTAAATACTTTATTTGATCTGCAACATAATAATGATTAACATCAATGCTCTCAATGCAAATGCCCAATTTCCAAAATAAAGATGCTGCCGTTGTTTCATAAACAAAACTCTTCAAATTGTAAACCTAACATTTTAGTGCACTTTTTTTTTGTCTAAAACGGTCTCTCTTTGTTCTAAAGCGTGCCAATTTAGAACTTTGTAAAACTTTAGAAAATCCATTGTTTTATCACTGTAGTAAATTTGAGCCATTGAACCCTACCTCCAAGTAGGCTAAAATTAGATCAACTCAAACCTCAAGATGTTTTTAAAACAGCTCTCAGATACATAAATTTTCTAAGATGCCATTTTCTCCTGCATGCCAGTCTCGCCTGCTTCGATGTTTGGCAACGTCAGTGCCCTCTGCCGATGAAGCAATGTGTCGTCGTGCTCCCTTCTGTATTTTTTGTAATCTCTAAAAATTGCCGAGGTTGTTTTGCTTCTTTGGACGACAGGAGGGAATTGTATTTTCTCGATTAATTCTCCAGTTTTTCGCTGTTTGCGCACGGGTTCGGACCATTTAGTAACCAGTTCGTTTTTATTTTTCTCGATGAATTGATTCAATGAAAATCTGTTTTTGCAGTTCTCCGGGAAAACGCGCATGCGAACGTCCAGCGCCCGTTTGTTCTCAATTTGTTTTCGTTCGGATTTTTTCGTTACTTTTGGATCAGATGACCTATGACTTTCTCCCTCCATATCTAGCATAATGTTAGTTTGAGGGAACACAAACGTTCTCGAACGTTCTTGAAGTCTGTATGGAAAGTGGAGAGTATCGTCTGTATTCATTATGCTTTTTAAGCCGAACGGATCACTTTTCTGAAGTGTTTTCAGTTTGGAAAAAACCTGGTTTCTGTAAGCATCTTCCTTGACCTTAGCGACAATGCTTGTGAAGTTTGCTTGTTGTAAGCTAAATTTGGTATTAGAAATTCGACTATTTGTTGTAGATTTACTATTACCCTCCACGGTAGAGTCATTTCCATCAGTTGTCTCAGTTTTATATCCTAATTTTAATTTCATCGCACCCCATTTCATCTTGCCGATTTTCAGATCTTGGGGTGGTTTCTGTCTTTGTTCCTCTTTCTTCATTTTTGGCTTCTTCGTTTCCGTTATAAAAATCGTCTGAGGAGGCTCAGGACTGGCGTAGTAACTCCTAAGACTGGCCCTCTCGTACGCAGTCTTATACGCTTTCATTTCTAACAACTCGTTTCTCATGTCTCTCAGTTCGTCCTCAGACCGCTGATCGTAGCAACGCTCCTCGTCTCTCAGCTTGTCTAAGCAGACAACGTGCCTGTGTTTTTCCTTCTCGATCTTTTTATTTGTGGCCCACAGAGCGGCATTGCTCATCCTCAGGACGGCATTGAACCGCCCCTCCCAGCTGTACCAGCCACGGTCTGAATCTCGAAGAAGTTTTCTGGGCATTTTTTTCTCTTTCAATTTGTCCTGTCGTTAAGTATCTTGCTATGATTACCAATATTTTCTCTCTCTCTTTAGTATGACAAGATGGACTTCAAAGATGAGTTTTGAATGTCAAAGTAATTTTATTGGTATCTCACAGTCTCTTTTCTCGGAATGCTATGATATGACCTCATTTTTTTCCACCAGTTTAGTCTGTTTTTCTTGTAAATGGAGTCCTCTCCAACGAGGAGGATTTGGACTCGTCTGCTGTGTTTGTGTCATACCTGTAAAAAAAAGCTTTATATTATTATTATTATTATCATTATTATTATTAGCAAGCACTAGAGATATCGAGTTAGTGTCGCTCTTGTATCAGTCTGATTTCCCTGAAATATTTCATATTAACAAGATAAATTGCAGTTACTTCACAATAACGTTTGTTACACAGTTGGCATGCCATTTATCCGAATTAGACTCATTATTTGTAATTGATCAGACTTTTCTCCTCACCTGAGCTGTTAATGTATCTCCAATATTTACACACACGGCACAATACGAACCAACTGTTTAGGAAAATCGAATTTTCAATAAGATAAACACACAAAAGAGAAACCTAATAGTCTGTCTCAGCCCAATATGCCTTGACTGACAAATATTTCTGGCGTATGGGAATTAATATTAATGGTTAATTCGTTTGACATTGTCTTTAAAGACCTAGCATTTTGTACATTGGTATTCTGAAATAATCTTTAAACCCAGTTGTGTATCTTTATATTTGTCGAAGTGCGTAAAAATCAGGTCTTTGTAACCGTATGGTAAACAATATGTATTTTTCTCACGTCATAATTTCTTTGTTCACTCTAATCCTCGGTCATCAATATAATAAAATATTTAAAACAGACAAGCAGAGGTTATCGTGTTTTGTGGTGCAGATGTCACGGTTTCCAAGTAAAACTGTCCGCTCTTCAGTTGAACCGTACCCTCCCACTTTTTCCTTTTTTGTCTTAAAATGTCATGCCCAATTTACATTCGAAATAGTATGATTAATGTAACAGTAAATTGTCTGCGGGTTCTTGTCGCCCGTTCTGTTAGCCGCTTACTTTTCTGATCACTTTTAACACTCTTCCGTCATTAACTTTTTGACTTTCAAAATACAGTAACACTGAACGCTTACCTTAACATAAATATAGTAATTACTCTAGAAGGACTAAGTTCTGCCTGCTGTCTTCGTGAGTTCACGTCGTTTCTCCTGTGACATCTAGCTAAGTCGAGGGCTGAGCAAATGCCCCTCAGGTGCAATCGTTCAAAGCAACACTTTAACTAAATAGAAAATATTTACAAAATCAATTATCCTGTCTATTCACTGGCAACAAGTAGGATTTTCCTCACGTCATTAAAACGATCGCGAACTTTTGGGCAAATACTCCACCTTGAACTCGAGAATTAATAATGGAACCCCACCTTTCATCGGGGATTGCAATTTATTTCAGGGGTCCAAAATGTCCCGTTTTGGTGCGACCCATATTGTTTTGCCGCGACGCGCTCTAATTGAAGTACTCCATACAGGTCAATCACTAATCATTATAACCGAATTCCCCCATTAGCCCGTTCAACCACTTTTAAGCTAAGTACCCCCATAGGGACGTGGGTCACAGACCTCCAATAAGCAATTTGTTTGGTATTTACACATCTACGTTATTTATTTATCAACAGTCACACGCTCGTTGCTAATACGGAATCGTACTTCAGGGTAATGCACTTACCGCCAGAGAGCGGATGGACGACAAGGAATGGAGTCTCCAACAAAAAATTGACAAAATATATTAAAAATTATTGACAACCCCATATAGCACCTTAGAACGCTAATTTTAACTAGCGTATAGAATATGCAGAGCAGTATAAAGAGGACGTCAAAATATTGACAAATATATGAGTTGATTTTAGGTTTTCATAACGTAAAGGCGCTTATGTTAAAACACATGAAGAAATAAATGAAAACATTCTAAAATAAAATAAAAATGAAAAAAAAAAATGCAGAACGTCCCCCTTTTTTTCGATCAAACATACACACGAATCGTTAGCCTCTACAACGACCGACACCCCCCCCCCCCTACCCCCCAACCGTCATCGGAACAAAATGAAAGATAAAAATTGCTGCAGTGGCGTTCTATGGCACAACTAAATAACAACTCCCCTATCGCAATACAGTTCTGATTGTAGATATTTATTTTCAACAAATGAATCAAAATATAAAGGGAAGCAGCCCAAAACAAGTTTATCAGTGGCAACTTTTATATTATTTTGTCCCGGTGTGTGTGTGTGTGTGTACAAACATAATATATATCTTGATGTAGGACTGGACCAAATTAATAAGTTGAATACCAAATGGAAGCGAGTCTAATTTTGTGGGGAAAAAATCGTATTTCTAATGGAAAAATACATTTGGTAATGGGGGAACTAGCCCCAGGAAAAACCTTCATGCAAATGTTTTATGCTGAAATATCCCCCATACTAAAATTCCCTTTCCTGAAAAAATAAATAAATAAATAAAAATAAAAATAAAACTCTAACAACCCTACTAGTAGGGAATCACTTCTCGTTACCCAACTTTTTGCTTGTGCCTCGTATAGCTGCAACTACACCACTTGCAATTATTACATAACAAGCTGAAGTGCACATACAAATGACAATAAATGTAAATATAAATGACCTGGCAAAAGACCAATTTTCAGTTATCCAATTTCATAAGATACAATTTTAAATACACAGGCAATTTTTGGTGACACGGCTTAAAACACCAATAACTTCACAATTCAGTTAGAAATGATTATCTTAAATTACACTTGTGAATGAAAAAAAAATACGACTAGGTAGAAATTAAAATCAAGCTCTATACAAAAGTCAACATGCTCTGCAAACTCTTGGGGAGAGGCAGAAGAGAAATTCTCGGCAAAATTGTCCGTCCCGCGCTCAGCTCCGCCAGGTGGCGCCTGAGCATCAAAATGCACGTCAACTGCAAGCTTCGAGGGTTGGAAATTTGTTCCAGCATCCAGGCGCTCAGGTGTGGGTCTCGGGTCACTTTTAGATTTTTCGGCGTCAGTCGGAGCTGCTCGTGGGTAAATTTTGCTCCAGCGTGGATGAGAAGTTGCAGCGTCGGAATCCTGGCGTTGAATATGGCCCAGTAGAGGGGCGTAGTGGATCTAAAATTTACATACATGGATATTAATGTGTTTTCATTTATGGCACATAATTATCTGTCTAAGAACACAATAATGTGAGAAACTTAATAGTCAGGTTTTCATTCTTTTGGAAATATCAGCAATATAAGAAAGTATATATTATTTCAGCATGACCCGAGATGACTTAAATTAAATCAGAAATAATCTCAAAGAAAAACTGTTTGAAAAACGACTTGATAGGAAACAAAAGCACATGCTTTAAAAAACAAAAGGCCTTTTTTTCTTTGACCAATCATCAATTCAGTGATAGCTTTGCCTGGAAGTTAATAAAACAAAACTATATTGCAAATGATTAACTACATGATGATCTGTGATGTATGTGTGTCATTTAACCTAAACTGATTCAAAGCTAAATCAAAATGACATGTTTCAAAATGACTGAATTAATCTATAAGATATTTAAATATCTTATTGAGAGAGAGAGAGAGAGAGGGAGAGGGGGGGGGAGGGGGATTCAGATTTGACCTTAAACCTATTTCTCCATTTTTTTTTTTTTACCCAAAGGTGCAGTGAGGTTCATGTCATTCCATCCAAAGCAATTGGAAACATTTCTTAAAACAGACAGACACACACACAATATATATATATAATACAATATTTTCTCTCTCTCTTATATATACATACATATATATATATATATTAGAAAAGCACTCAGAGAGTGCAGACCTCCGCCAAGGCAGCAATTTTTTATTATTCTTGATTATTGATTGATTATTGATCTGGATTACCACCAAATACTAATCATCTGTTCCTTGGCCCACTTCTGGCAGTTCCTGAAAATTTCATCAAAATCGGTTTATAACTTTTTGAGTTATGTTGATGACAGACAAACAAACAAACAAACAGACAGACAAACAAAGGTGAAAACATAACCTCCTTGGCAGAGGTAATAATAGAAAATAAAAGAAAATTAACCTGGCATCAGGCAAGTTCAGGTCAGCACCATGTTGAATCAACAGCGCAGCATTCTTTTCAAAACCAAAGTAAACTGCTGTGGACAGCGCCGTCTCGTGATTTTTATCAACGGCATTCAGCTGAGCTCCATGTTCAACCAGGAATTGGCACATGTTAATATTGGTGTACGCCTGTCTGGCTGCAGCTATCAGAGGTGTGGCGCAGGATTTGGTCTCATCTGGCTTGTTTATGTCATACCTGTAAAATATGATATAATTATTATCATTATTATTATTAGGAGCTTGCACAAAGTAAAACATATCATTTTTTTTAATTCAGGCTTTATCCATTGTTACCCCAATACTACTGTGAAAACAACTGCCTAGGAGAACTGCCTTCTGTCTGTGTGCATTGTCATAATTATCACAGATGTTTAGTAAACTATTGATAATAATGGAAAAAATAATAAAAAAAAATTAAGGACTATTTTAAAGTTTTTACTGTATCGTGTACCTCTATCACCCTTCTAACCTCCCCTCCCCCCACCTCCTGTTTCTCCATACACCAAACATCCTCCTATGAACTGTGAGATTCAGTTATGAGAGAATAAATGATGACTAAAACTTTGAAATAAATGACATAAGATGGAAAACTTCTGAAACAATTGAATGCATGTCTTCCTTTACTGGCCCATAGTTAGATGTATTTCTCATACCCAAAACATAACATCAAAATTTTCTCCAATAAGAAAACTGGAAAATAATGAAAATCTTCACCCTGTCTACTGAAGTAATCATTTAAGAAAACTTGAGATTTTTCACTAAACATAATCACTATACTAAGATACACCATCACAACTTACCCAATTTCCAGTAAAAACTTCACCACTTCAAGCTGACCTGAACTGACCGCTCGATGGAGGAGAAGATCAACCTCTGATACCGCCTTGGATGCGCTGGCAGGAAGATACAGCCGAATGTGTTGTACTATAGAGATGAAGTATTCAAGCACCTGTAATTTGCCTGAGAGAAGGGTTTTCCCTACAGGAGTGTGCCACTGTTCATTTGGAAGTGACAGCACACTATCTGCAGCTTGGCAGTAGGCTAAAACACTGGGCATAGCCTGTGAGGGCTGACCAGAGACCTGAGAGGGCTGTTGACTTTTCATGGAGCCAACCCCGCCATACTGATTGCTTCTCTTATTCAATGCTGTGTGATAACTAGGTAAGGAGCCACTTCCCGACGATGAAAAATGGCTCGAGGGACCAGAAGCTGTATGCTCTGGGTCTTCTCCAATGCTGGAAAAGCTGGTTCTTTTATGCTTGCTTCCTGACTGTATCCTCTCGTCCTTGTTCCACATATTAACCATGTGAGAGTACAGCATTTTCACTGCCGCCAAGTTGCCTAAATGACAGGCAAGGTGCAGGGCCGTGTTACCTTTGCCAGTCTGTAGGTCTGCAATGAAAGGGTTGCACCCCGCCTCCAAGAGAATCGCGATCACTGCAGTGTTAGAGTATCCTTGCACCGCGAAATGTAATGCTGTTTCCCCGTACTGTGTGGTGACGTTGGCGTCGCAACCTGCCTCCAAGAGCACCCTGGTGGAGTTTGCCAGGCCAAATTTGGCACTTAGTAATAATGGGGCAATGGCAAAGCCGCCAAATGTATTGTTGATGTTAATACCTTCCCTCTGGGCATACTGCAGTGTGATTCTGACAATATCACTGTCGTTTGTCATTAATGCTGTTGCTAAGGGAGTCACATCAACATTTTTCTCCTTTACTTTAGCACCATGCTCTAACAAAGTCCTAGTTATCCCTATGTGTTTGTTCTCAATGGCTTTAATAAGAGGCGTAATTCCTGCACAAATATGGTTCACATCGGCACCATAACTGAGCAAAAGATTGACAAGCCTTGAGCTCCCCAAGTCCACGGCAAGAATTAAGGCAGGAGCATTCTCCTTGGGTAATGTCTGGTTTAAGTCCACACCATGCTTGATGAAGGTCTCCAACATGAGGATGTCTTCAGTGTACAGAGCAAATGAGAAGGGACTGGAGCGGTCGGGGGTGGCACATTCAGAGACAGGGTCAGCACCATATTGTAATAGTAACTGCACAAGGGATAACTTCTTCTGTTCTACTGCCAGCAGTAAGGGTACATTACCTGGAGGGAGAGACAAATCACAGAATTATATTATATAATTAAGTACATGTATGCTGAAGTCTCATCTTGGCCATAAAATTTTGTACCTGTCAAAACTTAGATTTAACTGTTTAGAATTTAATCTTTCTCTCTATCCTGCTCTCTGTGTCTTTTTATGTGTGTGTGTGTGTGTGTGTGCATGCATGCGCAAGTTCTTTTTAGATAAAATATTACTACATACTATAAAATGACCCTATTACAATTATCCATTTATGTTTTTGTTCATGGAGAAAGTCATATGAAAACAATAAATCCCAGGTGATGGTAAAGCAATATAAATAAATTAATTAATTGAAAAAAAAATAACTGAGGAGACTGGAAGGGTCCTACCTTCTTCGTCCCTGATGTTAGGGCTTTCTCCATCCTTCAGTGCCTGCTCTGTAGCCTGTATGTTTCCTGCTCTGACAGCAGATAGGAGATCCATTGTATACTACTGAATCCTCTCTTATCAGTCTGTAGCATCAGCCATGCACTGATCCAAGGTTATTGACTCTAGTCATCAAGCTAGTTAAAGAAATAAGTAATTTGTCAAAATTAATTGTTCAACTTTGTTCAACTGATTTCTTTAATAGTTCTACCAGTACATGTGGCTCTTTTCCTTTTAGATTGATTTAATTAATTATATGGATACACTGTATATATACTGCAAAAGCACACCAGTGGCTCTATTTGAAAGATGATCAGGTCCATAGCCAGCAATTTTAGAGGAGGGGTGGGGAGGTTCTTTTGTGAAAAAGTGGACCTTTTGCCATGTAACATCCATGTACCCATAACAAATTTTCCCTACAGTGGACCTTCTTCTTCTCTCTACCCCCCCCCCCCCCCCCCCTTGTAGGAGCCTGATATATTGATATTGTCGAGTTCTTCTCTACACCACGAGAAATCAAAACAGATTTGCGTAATGTTCACTGATACATTTGAATAGCTTTTACGTTCACTTGAACACAAATCACTTAGTATGGATGAAGAACTTCCCTAAAGCCACTTTGGTGCAACTCCTTACGCATGACCATACCTCCTGGAGCAAAAAAAAAAGACAACTCTCACTTCCCCCAACGTACCCTTCTTCATGTTCTTGGATATCTTGATTCACCAGTTCATTTCAACACCAAATCACCTTTTCCTTCATCAGTTTCTATATAAAAAATAAGGTCTTATCATCAATTTCATCAATGTTAACATATCATGTAGACTAAATAATTTTATAATTTCACAACTTACTCAAAACAACCGGTGTTTTGTCCTTCATGTTCTCATTCGAGGTGCCTTCTGCTTTTCTAGGTCAAGGTTGTTTTAAAGGTCAATACCCATCGACAGGTAGCGCTCTAGCTGAATATGTTTTCCTTTCTCCCCCCCTCCCCCTTCCACCGCCTCGAAATTCAGTTTGTGGTAATTTCTGAATTTTTATGTTTTTTATTGCAGTATATATTTCTTGCTGTGACTGACCACTCGAACGTTTTCGACGTCGAAATTTTTTCGTCTTCGATTCGTTAAAAATTCGTGAACGATTTCGATGAAAAAATTTTCGATAGCTTCCAGAATACCGATTTTTCGGATTCGATTAGGATTCGATGAAAAATTCGTTTTCGATAGCTTCGAGAATACCGCCCCAGGGCCCTTTTTGATCTACGTCCCCCCTTCTTTATTTAGGCCTACTTAAATTTCTTCCCGTCGTAGGCCTACGTGTAGGCCTATGAATCTTCACCACCACCCCTCGACCGACTATATCGCACCTGAGAGACAGTTATTGGCCAATTTTTATATAAACAGTACCTAATTTATTAGTGAATTCATTTTACAAGGCCTTAATAACACTATGTACAGTTAAATTTATTATTATTTCCTAGGCCTAATTTGAAATAGGGCCATTTTAATTCGATCAGTTTGGCTAAAAAGAACATATAACCTGATTTTTTAAATTATCCTAATATTGATTTTTAAAAATTATCTTAATATTGAAAGCACGTTACGCCGACTAGCTGACGCGACTTTTGAAATCAACAACAGCGATTTAATTTCAAAATCATGCAGCTTTGTCTAAATATAATAGAGCATACAGCACAAATGCGTATGTATCTAGGACAAAGAAACCACAAGCTAGGTTATTCATGTAGGCCCTACAGTGTACTTGTTGCCTTATATTTCACCTTTTAAAGTGTGCAATATGCAGTGCGGGCAGTGCACCTCCGTCACTGAGCAGATTTCCACTGTATGCCTTCAAACAGATAGTATATAGGCCTATCTTACAGACTATGCAAGCACCACTGATTATTGGCTATTGGAACATCAGGGGGGTGAGTGTAAATGTTACCAAAATACGCAAGATTTCAAAACATCTATTAAGTCGTATAGAGAAACCAAGGTGCATACATGTACATGAAGACAGCCCATACAGACACCTTAAGTGCGAGAGCTTTACCCACTTTTCCTTACAGGTCATTCCACCTGGCCATACCGACCGGTAGAATATATGCATGTATATTTCACCTTTGCAGGAGGGTAGAAGCACCATTAGATATACTGTCTACTGATAAACGATATGAGTTGCTCTAGTTGATCAAAGACCAGGGTTCTGCTCTAGCGGTGACCTCGATATAACTTTAGTTTATGGAGGTTACAGGGCAGATCGGGCTGTATAAAGGGAATGCATTAAGTGTGAGTTAGAGCGGAAATGTATGCGGCCGTTAAAGTCGCACATCATCTTGTGTGGTGATATTTTGGCAATATTTCCTTGATATGTTTTTTCAAAAAAATTTCATCTGCACACGGAGTTTACGCCTGGGCTCTGACATAAAATTTTATCACTGGGAAACGATTTTTTGTAGTAATATGATCAAAATATGCCTTTGGCACTGTTCATCTGCATCTACTTTATCTAATTAGGTTTATTCATCAAGCAACACAAATGCTATTGGAAGTCATTAATTCTGCTTATTTCAAACTAGCGATGCACTATTTATGACTCTGTCATTCATGAGTTATAGGTATGCAAATGTTGTAATTCAATGAGCAATTGGGAATAAGATGAAAATTACATTGAGCGTTATCTCATGATAACTTGAAGAGAAAAAAATCAAGATTTAGAATAAATTGCCAAGCAAAAACATTTGCATTATACAGGTGAATAAATAAATGGCATTATGAAATTAATTTATATACCAAAAACTGTGTTGATAGGAAAAATGAATAATGTGGACATCATTTCAAGTAAAGATCTCGCATATAACTGAATTTTTGGCATTCTTCCCATTGCGTTGAATTCTTAAGAAAATGATGGAAAATTTCAGGATACATTGGGAAGTAATTTAGAACTAAAGTGACTGATTATACAACAGCTGTGAATTTTCTGAATTAATTGCAATAATTGGGCTTGACATTTTTGGTAGAAGGCAAGGGCGAATCCAGGATTAATTGAGAGGGAGGGGGGCATTATTTAGGAATGACAAACCTCGGATATGAAGCCGACCGTCTGCTCCCTTGTGATGGGGCTCGGGGCCCGCTGAATAACCCCAAAATATAATGGTGTTTTGGAGGGAAAACGGTGCCATTTGGAACGGTTAAGAACTATAAATAAGCTATTCAAAATTCTAATTTCAAGTGGAGAATATCAGTGTGATTTGTTTTCAGAAACCCAAGGGGGAGGGCCAGGATCCCCCTGACCTCCCCCCCCCCCCTCACTGGATTGGTTAAAATGATATAACAGTGAAAAGACAAAGGATGGATAAAAATTACAGAATCATTTAAGGGTATTTTATACTAAAAATACCATTACCAAGAAGATGCATGATGGAAAATTAAAAATCCTGAAGCTTGATGAATTTACAGAAAATTGATACTTGATACCTTTTTTATATAAATATCGATATTTTAATAGAATTGAATCGAAATTAAGTATATAATTTTCAAATATATATTGACTTTATAGAAAATATTAGAGGTTATCCATTTCTACCTTCTACCTGGATGATAAAACGAGTGAAATAAAGTAAACATTTTACCATATATGAACCAATATTGAATCACAAAAGTATGAAACTATGATTATTTGGGAAAAGTGATTTTAAGAAACATTTCATGACAAAATAACCAATATACTGGCATTCCATTTATTTGCACATAAGTTATATTGACAAAGTTATGTTGGTTTCAGTGAAGAATTACAAACAAACAGTAATATCCCCAACAAGAGAATTTTAGTTGAAATTGAAAATCTTCAAATTCTGTGTCTCTCTGTAAACCAGACACATTACGACATTTTAACATTTATGTGGTATTACACGATCATTACTGACAGGAACATGAACCTGTGAATAAACAATTAATAATATTAGAAAACATGCTGGGCTTTATAAAGAGATATGATGACATCAAAACTACACACACTGGACAATAGAAGTGTCACCCCTACTGAACCAATACTATGGGGGAGATAAATGACTGTGGAATGATATGCTCCTGGTATCATTTTATTAACATCAAATTTCACCAAAAATCACAAAATGAGAATAAAATATACATTCTACCAAAATATGCAGTTTCAAGTCCAAAATTAGTACTTAGTGGCATAGCCACGTGACCTAATAATAGGTGCCAGTGTACGAGGCAAGGATTCATATAATTGTCTGATGCGTTCAGGGCTTAAGCTGGCCCAAGCATGAAACACTGAATATAACAGAGTTTCTCTGCTGGTTAGACGGGCATTTGTCAAAAGTTTTGACATATCATTCCACACATTTTCTATTATGTTTGCATCCGGACTCGGGGCAGGCCACATCACCCTGCGAATATCCTGTTAGTCAAACCAACCATCAACTGCTCTGGGCCTGTGACAAGGAGCATTGTCATCCTGGTGTACAAATGGATAACTCCTGTCACCAAACATGTTAGTAATAGATGGTAGTAAGCCTGACTCCAAAACATCGATATATTTCTAGTGATTCATGTTTCCATCAACCACTATCAATTCACCCACGCCATGGATGCTGATGCAGCCCAACACCATGATGAATATGCTGCTCCGGATTCGGCAACTTTGATCTACACTCGCACATTTCTAATACATACTACTACATATGTTACTTATTCGGTTTAAAAAGTGCAGAAAATATCATTCAATTGAACAACAACAGTAGGTAACACTTAAAGGGTACATATATATGTGTAACGAACTCATGAATGCTTCCCTGGAGTATTCTGTAAGTGATTTATTTACAGTAATTAGACAGTCTCGTCCTACGCTGTACCCGGGCAGTTGTCTTCATAATAGCTGTATCCAGTGCGGGCCTGCAAGTCGCCGGATTGGGTAGTGCTGGTCAGAAGTTCACAGACACATTGGTATTTTCCAGCACAGAAAATATTTATGGCAACACATTTCCACTGTTGCATACAAGAACGGCAACATTCGGAGAGGCTGCGGACATTATGCGTGGATAGGTGCACACGGGTTGCGCGAGCATCTGCTCCTACCCTCTGGAACGTGGTTGAATTTGCAATACCTAAAAAAAAAATGAATTAAATATGGGACTTCAAAGATATAACAAAAACGTAGCTGATTGACCGGTTATGTCGACTTAAATCAATTTATGAAATTTGTCAGATTTATAAATTTTAGCTAGTATCTTCAACTTTTTAAACACATACCTCTATAAAAGTGCATGTATTAGCAAAGAAACAATGTGAAATACTTGAGGCCCGCTTGTAAAAGTGATTTTGATGGACCCATGAACTCACCATGGACCTCCACTTCACAAAGCTGCAAGGGATGTTCGTCACTACCAACTTTGATGATCAAGACATATCGTCCTGTCAGTGGTGACCCACAGGACAGAGACGTGTTCCCCACAGGTGCCACACCCGGGTAACTGGCGCAGAGTTTGTACTGGGTGAATGATGAACTATCATGGTATGAGGTTCCAACTTTCACTTCGAAATTATTCAGACGGAAAGCTGAAAATAAAAATTGGCAAATTGTTAGATTTGAGTTAACATTTTGATCATATTTGTTTGCCCCTTAGCGACAAATTAAATAGCACATCAGTTGTGGAAAGTGATATTTTATCATGGAAAAAGAGATAAATGCAAGGACTGAAAGAGGGACACAATTTCAGGAATTAAGTGGAAAAAAGATACGAAATATTGAAGCAAGACTCACAAGAGCTATGGTCACGGTTTGTTATGATAACACCGGCCACCCTCGCCGTGGTTTCTAAGTCCACCAGCCACCATTCTCCCTGACCAGCATTGGTGTGGGAACAACTTCCATGACTCATTTCGTCGTCATAGTTACCGTCCACAGCACGACTGGCATGGTACTTATTTTGGTAGTTGGAACTTTGGTATGCGGGTTTGCCTTTGGCCAAACCCTGCGTGCAACCTCTGCATGGTGTTGTACCTGCCGTGGAAAGCAATCAATAACATCAATTATTATTATTATTAGTTGCCGCTATAAACTGGATGTTACAAAGAAATACTGGTATATAGGTAAATACTAAGATATAAATTTCAATCTAAAACGGATTGAAAGGACATTTAAAAAACAATTATAAATTCAGAAACAAATATATAACCACACAGATGAATAAAGTTATGATATTGTGCCTTGCTGTATATCAAATTATTGCCAAAAATCATTTTTCAGCTCTAAGGCGGATCAATATTAAAACGCCACTTTTGCCTTGTGCATTTTGTTACTGCCAGACTTACCTAAAAGAATCACAGTAACTCCGACAAGAAGCAGACTTAAGGCCACCATGCTCATTTCAGACATCGATCATCGTTATTCTAGCAGTTTTCAATGGCAGACAAATCAACAAAACGCTCCGTTCTTGCCCGGTTGTTGAGTTGCTAAGAGTAACTACAGAACTGGAGTAACTGAAGAAAATCCTAGGAGAAAAGTTCAGTTGATGCTTAGATCAAAAGATCGCTAATGCGACTTGTATTCATCAGTTATCTAATAGATGGATTCAAAGCTGAAACCGTGTGTTTTCTACGTGCATGTCGCATGGAATAGAACCTTATCATTTATTTATCTCTATATTATTGTAACATCTTTCCGTCCTATCAGTGCCGAATGTCTATTATAAAATTTGTTTTGGTGTACTTTCGACTGCTCATCATTTAAGCAACGTTCGTTCTCTCTCTCTCTCTCTCTCTCTCGCAGGCGAGCCCTCACAATCAATAAAATTCCCATTACGTCGTCAAGGTGATAATAAGAGTAATTTTTAAAATTGCTCCCTAGTGTATTTTTGTTTCAGATCCATGCTTCATAGGTAATCAATTATTTTAAATTAAAATATGAGTGATATGTTCACCGTGCGTCCTTTCACATAGACATTCGAGCTTTCATGACACGTTTGCGAATTGTATAAATCAACATTATTTTCAAAGAAAACTAATTATGAACTATATACCTTCATAATAAGCCTTAGTTTTATAATCTGTAATTTATAAAACTTAGTTTTATAGATTTCAGGTTACTTTTCATCATCCATTATAAACTAATAAAGATAAGATGAAGATGATCCAGCACAGCCCTTTGTCTATCGCCCTACTTGATCAAACCCTATCGTTTTTTTATAGTACTCTTGCACCCCTCTTGCAGCCCTTTGAGAGTGCTTCTTACAGGTTTTCCAATATGCAGTCCTGTTCGAGAGACCAAAAGAACTTAGTCATAATCGTCTTAACTTAGTGGGGACGAGAGGCCTATAAAGGGTACCGGAGGAGACGAGTATTAGTTAAACTTGTACCGGAAGTGTGATGTCATGTGACGTAAAGTGGTGTAAGACGCGAAGCTGAGCTGGAGGTGAACGGGAGAAAAGCCGTGTAGTCAGAGAAAAAAGCGGTTTTCCAAACAACATGTGTCCACAACCTCCTCTCAAGGCGACCCTCCAAGTAATTTGCTAAATAAGTTTTAAGTGAATCCATGCAGTATTATATAGTCAATATGTAGTCGATGGTATCCTGTATGGGCAATTCACTGAATACTATCATCCTGTTGAAAAATAATTCTAACCAAACCAACCTCTTAAAGATACATACAAACTGAGCATCGGTGGAGCGTGGATTCCCAGTAACACATGTAAACCACTTCTACTAGATTCTTAAATGACTCAAATAAATTCGACATGCCAAGGGATAAACTGAATAGATCACTCGATCAGCCATAAAAGACCTTTAGACTGTTCGTTTCTTTAAATTTTTGGTTGTAAATTTAACCTACTATCGTGACCTACTTTCCTGCCCCATTGACATACAGCTTAGAATGCCAGCAGAAAAATCCGTTCAAACATCATTTTCGGGTAAAATTAAACAATGCCTTTTGGTAATTCTCTTAGTTATACTGTACTACTTGAAACTATATGCTGACATTTGGTTGATTTTTGTGACAAAAAAATTGACTTTGTATGCATCTTTAAACAAGTCACATGACCTGCCCTTAAATGGTTCACGTTGTAAACGCTGCCGACCACCTACCCCCCCCCCCCCTCCCCATTTTTTTCTTTTTTTTCGCAAATACGTTCTGCAATGGAATGAAACGGGTGTGAAATGTTGTGAGATGACGCTGATATGGCTGGAGAAAATCTCTCTCCCTCTCTCTCTCTCTCTCTCTCTCAGGCGTTAAGATGATTGATAAATCTCCTCAAACGAATATCTGTATCTAAAGTTGATATTTCCTTCTTTCAATACAATTTGTAAATGAGATTTGCTTAGGACTATTTGATTGGAGAATTAAGGTTCAAAACATAGAATCAAAGAGGAGGGAGAGATCGAGCAATGGCTTTTGAGTAGGAGAAAATTGCTTTTTTTTTCGAGAAAATTCATTTTGGCGGAAAACTCACGAAAAAGATACCTTTATATTATTTATACAGTAAGCTCAGAGATCAAAGGAATGGTAGATCAAGCTTTGCACTGATCCAACAATCATTATCACAAAAATTATTTGAGTTATAAAAATACAAGGTTGTCATACTGGTACAATAGATGATTTTACCTTATGTATGATCACACCAACATAACGGGTACAATAATTCATCTTGACAGAGAGAGAGACAATAATCGATATCAAGAATAAATTGCCAGATGAAAACATTACATTTTGATGTATGTGATGATCAAATAACTGTATTGGGCACACAAAAAGCAAAAAGTGTGCGAATAGGATAAAAAATGTAAAGATCACAAATTGTAAAAAATTCATTCAAAATTTCAGAAACAGGGTAAATTAGTCTCCTCATATTAAGCGTTATATAATGGCAGTTTAATAGCTTTTAAAATAAAAATATGGCTAAGAGGATGCATGATAAAATATTTAAAATAGAAGATACTATAAAAATGCCGTGAACTCTCCTTTCCAGCCAATGTATCTGTGTGTCGTGTACATTGTCTACATGTATTATTATTATTATTATTACTAAACAGAATTTAAAGATTTTCTTTTAATGATCTTTTTATACAAAATAATACAAAGGGACAGGGGTTGGGTACAGGTGGTAATTTCTGGCTACATATGGGTACTGGTATACTGTATGTAAGTCCCTTTAAAAAAATCTATATACTTCCTTTACCTTTGCAGTTTGCGCAGCCCATCAAGCTGCTTCTCAGTTACGTTGGCAGAGAATTTGAAACAAAACAATATTGCCTTGGACCAGGTAAGTGCCTGGCCCTCCTCTCTCTCTCTCTCCTAGCCCCGAAGACTAAGTGCTTTGAATAAAACGTCTTTAATTTTGACTACAAGACGTTTGCTCTGCATAAAAAAAATATTGCTCAACCACCCCGGTATGTTCTATATGCCGTTATGTTAAAGAGGCGCACCTTTTCAGCATCCCTTCCCCTTGAAATTGCTCTCTACAGACCTGGCCTTTCTGTAATTTATACTAATTTAAAAACTCGTGCATTCTAAACCTTGTAATTTCAACTCAACTCTTTGAAAAAAGGCAAAAATACTTTTTCAGCTCCAACATACAGTAATAAGGCATGGAAGAGCGTGAAATACTCACTGGGCCTACCTTTCCCGAATGTATGTATAGATTAACCCACCGCTGAAACAAGTAAAACTATACAATAATATATTAAATAGACCATCTCTGTTTCACTTTATTACAAATATCATGAATACGTTTCAAAGTTACAGGAAAACGAGACATTCAGAATTGCTTTATTTTTTCAGCTTCCTTATCTAATAGACGGTGACGTCAAGATCGTTCAGAGCCATGCTATCTTAAAATACTTCGGAAGACAGCACAATCTCTGTAAGCCCCAGTAAAACTTGCTAAGGAACCCGCTGCTGCTTTAATTTATTATAACATAGTATGATAAAATAACATTTTTATGTTTTTACTTTTTTCAAATGTGTATTTCGGATAGCAACGCTGGAAGCGGAAATCGAATAAATCCAATAATCCATAAGAATCCATATTGGGATAGTCACGATATATATTAAAAATTGACATTCACAAATACTTCACACTTGAAATCTCTTTCAGGCGGTACCACAGAGGAGGAGCGGATACGGATGGACATAATGGAGCACCAGTTAGAGGATACCCTGAACGCGCATATCTCCGTCTGCTACTCCACCTATTTCGGACACGGAAAGCACGTAAATATATTTCTACATGTGAAACCTATTTTTCTGATTTTTTCAGTTCTTTCCAAAAATGAGTAAGCTTAACGGAGATGATAAAAAAAGAAAGAAATGAGCGTCGCGTCTGGTTTGATTTTCATCTAAAGAGAATTATCTTATCCAAACGATAATTAAATTGCTTCAACGATACCAACTAAAAAATACCGAAAAGATAAAAAAGCATGAAGTATCGGTTTCAACTTTCAGGAGGACAGGAAGGCAGAGTACCTAAAACATCTACCCTATACGCTAAGACAGTATTCGGAATTCTTAGCCGATCATCCGTGGTTTGCTGGAGAAAATGTGAGTAGGCAGAAAATCACATTCAAGATTTTGAAGAAAATACTATCACGATGAGCGATAAACTACAGAGAGAGAGAGAGAGAGAGAGAGAGAGAGAGAGCTAGAGGGAGAGAGAGACAGAGAGTCGATACAAAACAATTTATAACAGCTATATCCACACACTACATGCAGTCCGTGCAAGCAATACAAAACATAGCTCTGCCAAGGGACACAACACGGCCAAATAAACAAAAAAGATACTATTTTGAAATATGATAGCATGGATAAATGCTATTTAGTAATTGTTGTAAATATTGATTTGCTTCCAGCTCTAGAACTGTTCCATGTGTTAAAACAAATAAGTAACCCCGAAGGTTTCAGTGCGTTTCATATACATCCAAAGGTCGCCGATCCATTTTCTCTAGATAAATATTATTTATTTCTTTTTTCAGATAACATTTGTTGACTTTATAGCTTATGATCTGTTTGACATCCATCGCGTATTCTCACCAGGCTGTTTAGACGGCTATAAAAACATAGCCGATTACATGGAAAAATTTGAGGTGTGATATTAGTACATACATGTGCATGTTTTAATTTTATTTATTTTTTATTGAAACCCTTTAAACTGACATGTGAGACTTACCCGCATCTATATAGTTTCTTAATTTTTCCAAAGAAATGAAGAAAATATATTTATTGCTATAGTAAAGATTGAATTGCTTTAAATCTTCATGGTATTCTATAAGATTCCTTTATCATTGCATTGTTATATTGCAGAAATACAACATGTTTGCTTTCTTTTTTATTTTAAGGAACTCCCTGCCATTGAAAAGTACATGCACTCAGGCAAGTTTTTACGAAGACCTATTTATAACAAGCCAGCAGATTGGCGAGGGGACTGAAAAAATATCAAATAAAGAACAACTGAGAAAAAAAAACGCGGTTTGTCTGGTTGTTGATCCATGTAAAAACTTTTATCTCAGGGTAAAGTTTGTCAAGATTACACTAGAATAATACGTTGCATTTACTTCAAACCTGCCAGATTATCCACCGCAAGAGAAAAGAATACACGGAGGTGCAACGAAAGGGAATGAAGAAGACCGTTAAAAGAATGGAATGCCATTGCGATAAAATGCATTGCGATAACGGGGACGACATCCATGAATGCTTTGGTAATTAGGCTGCAGTTGGCAAAAAATTATTTGGATTCAACAAACCAAAATGTAATTATAGTGAAATTTATTGAAATTATTATGTCCAGATATTGCTCAGGCATACGGTTACATTCAGTTAATATCGAAAGCTTTTGTTTGTTTCTAAAATAAAGTCTCGAAGAACGTTGCGCAGGTAGACCCTTCATTGCGTTAGTTGTGACGGAGTAAATGTGATGTGAGTGCTCGCAGATTGCATGAGCTTATTTTCGGGGTTTGGCATCCGTTGTGGCTATTCAATCTTTGGTCGAAGCCTTTCTCCTTGTTCCAGCTTTAAAAATAAACTAACAATGTCCAGTGAGGACAATGGGAATGACCAGTCAACCAGAGAGATGAATAGCCACAAAGGAAATTCAGATAGGGCCAAGTTTATAAACCAGGAGGTAGAGTGTCTCTCTTTGAGATACTTTTGTCAATTGGTCTCAGTTGGCTCTTGCTTGAAGTTATGAGGCATGGTTTTCGTGGTGGTAGCAGGAGAAGTGTGCACTCTTCTTGCTCTCTCTCTCTCTCTCTCTCTCTCTCTCTCTCTCACACACACACACACACTATAAATAGAAAGGCGACCTTAATGTATGAGGTCTTCATCAACCATGCATTCACAATATTAGAAGAAAATTCTGAACATCTATACATCTATTGTATACATCTAATTTCATTATCAGGTAATAGGTGCGGTCAAGTGGATTTCTTTCAATAGAATTAAGTACCAAGATCCGTCTGGGAGGGAGACGTAGGCCTCAAGGATAGTACAAATATTCAGACAGCCTACAGCACTCATAAAAATTTAAGCTTTCTGATATTCACTGTTGTGTTAGAGACTGAATGATACGAATAAACCGAAGGTGAAAGTGAATTCTATTTTGTGCCTTTAGGCAGTTTTCCTTTAATTACCTCTCACCTCGCAAGGTGCACATTGCTGAAAATCTGTTGTTTTTTTAAAATAAATTAATGTGATTGGAGTATGTAAACGAGAACGTGATCTTTTGTTTATACATAAAAATGCCATTACCAATAGGCTGGTTTAAGCCGTAATAGAGCATGCAGAATCCCAGAGGAATGAACGTGCCTGAAAAGATCACCAATTTTCATGTACCTGGCAATGACCTATACTTGCTTACACGTACCTATATATGAAAATGGGAGTCTGCTGTATTTCCAGTGGGTGTGGTCAGGGATTTGGGGAGTCTATGTTTTGGACCCCCCTACCACATCATTTTGTGTGATGGCACATAGTAAGGTATAAGCTCTGGTATCAACAGAACTTTTTTTCAGCAATATGATCAAAATATGTCCGTTAGTGATCTTTGACTTTGGTGATGTTCATCTGCTTCCACTTTATTAATAAAACAACTCCAATGCTACTAGAAGTCGATCTAGAGTTAATTTTGCTTATTTCAAACGAGAGATACACTATTTGTTATACTGTCACTTGAGTTATAGGTAAGCAAATGTTGTAATTCAATGAGCAATTGTGAATAAGAATTTATAATTACACTGAGCTTAATAAGCATACTGTGTATTTCTCGTGATAACATTGAGAGGAAAAAATCGAAATTTAGAATAGATTGCCCAGCAAAAACATTTGCATTATACATGTAAATCAATAAACAGTATTAGATAATTAATGACTAAACCAAAAGCAAAAATTGTATTGATAGGCCATATGATTAATGTTGATTTCATTTCAAGTAAAGATCTCACATAAAATGAAACTTTTGGCATTCTTCCAGTTGCATTGAATTTTTAGAAAATGATGGAAAATATCAAGATACATTGGGAAGTAATTTAGAAGTAAAGTGATTAATAATACCACAGCTGTTAATTTTCTAAATTAATTACAGTAATTAGGTTTGAAATTTTTGGTAAAATGGTTAAAATGATAGAACATTGAAAAGACTAAGGGTGGCTCAAAAGAGTTAAAAAAACGCACTTTATGATATTTCTTACTAAAAATACCATATCTAAGAAGATGCATGATAAAATATAAAAAATAATTTGACAAATCCTGGTCGACTTATAGAAAATAATTGATACTTGATACTTTTTATATAAATATCGATATCAATGATATTAAATTGAAATTAGATATAATTTTCAAATACATATTGAATTTATAGAAAATATTAGAGGTTATCCATTTCTACCTTCTACCTAGGTGATAAAACGAGTGAAATGAAGTAAACATTATACCATATATGAACCAATATTGAATCACAAAAGTATTAAACTATGATTATTTGGGAAAAGTAATTTTAAGAAACATTTCATAACAAAATAACCAATACACTGGCATTCCATTTACTTGCGCATAAGAACATTGACAAAGTTATGTTGGTTTCAGTGAAGAATTACGAACATACAGTAATATCCCCCACAATTAGTTGAAACTGAAAATCTTCAAATTCTGTGTCTCTCTGTAAACCAGACACATTACGACATTTTAACATTTATGTGGTATTACATGACCATTATACTGACAGAAACATGAACCTGTGAATAAATAATTTATAATATTAGAAAACATGTTGGGCTTTATAAAGAGAAGCAATGACATCAACACAATATAGCTATGATGGTGAAATAGATATTCATATACAGTTATGCATATCGAAATAACATAACAACTGCGGAAGGAGAAAAAAATAATATAGCACGTGCGAGAAATGCATATAAAGAAATGTTAGTCGGAAGTGTACGAATGCAGGGAGGCAAAAAGTAGTCTGCATTTTATCACGTGTTTATTTAATGGAGATCTATACGCGATTACCGGACGTTTGACTTAACTATCCGTTTTGTGTCGGCTTTTCACTAGTTTTGGCCAGTAACTTTGATCGGCACTTGCCCATTCTAATACATACCACTAGATACACTACATATTCGGTTTAAAAAGTGCACAAAATATCGATAAATTAAACAACACTAGTAGATAATACTTGAAGAGTACAGGGCCGTAGCCTCCGGAGGGGCAGGGGGGGGGGCAGCTGCCCCCCCTGGG